AATAAAGTTATATGGCTAGGAATATCATGGTACAATTGAATTATATCACGTGCAGCCGATGAGCAGTCAACAAAATCTTTCAACTACTCCCGCAACGGTCTCCACTCCTTTCATTCTGTGATGATGCGATAGCACATAGTCAAACCACTTTCTTTTAAAGATGAATCGTATCGAGTTACCGATGGCCCGGGTGGTATTGTGGTGGATCCGGAATGTCAGGTTCGCCGCGAGTTGCAACCGGTTGCAGATTCGGTAACGACTTTAAAAGAATTCTGCTCCATGGAAAATAATCAATATGTAAAGTATGGAACCAGATCTTATTACCTTCCATAATTTGTTGTATTGACAGGTGCCTTACGGTGACCAAACTACCTGTAAACGAACCTGTTGAAATTAATTATATAGTAAAGTAAATAAATTTATATGCTTTAACCCTTTTAGTGCTGGGCGCCAAACGGGTGCCTACGCGAAGATAGCCGGGCGAATTTAACGATTTTACTAAAGTTTGGGAAAAAACTCAGAAAACCGAACTAAGAATGATATTTAAAAAATTCAAAATGCAGCGTATTACGGAAGAAAGGGAGAATAATGTAATGCCAATTGTATTTCAATAGTTATTGAAAATCATACGAATAACATTAATATAAAACATGATGAAAAACATAAAAACAAGTTTCTCTTCTACAAACAATATTTGCACATAAGAATAGTTATTGTTTGATCACAGTTTTATGTAGATCACGTAGTATGAAGTATGGTGCACGGTATGGCACACGAGCTCTCAGATAACTATCATAAACATTACGATTACGGTCCCAAGAAACTGTCCCATGTCGAGTTTCTACCTTATCGCTCCAGCGTATACAGAGCCTCGGCACCAACTAGCATAGAATATAACAAAAAGTTAAATCCAAAACAATTATTTATATTCTTTTGCAATGAAATTAGATCATTTATAACATTTTATAAATTTATTTTGAGATAAAGCTTTCTCGCAATGAAAAGAATAAGGCGCCATCGCACGCGCAACGATATATCGTCGTCTGGCACTAAAAGGGTTAAAACACAATTAAATTAATAATTAGTAATTAAATTAATAAATAAGAATAATTAATTTACACACTTTTCGGCCCAATTAGATTCAACCTATTAATTATCTACTAATCTATTAATTACTTTCCAGTAACAAACTACACTCGCCTTCATATTTCCTTTTACCCGCTTCCAGAATAATTTCGAAACAGCTTAACAGGTGGTGCAAAATAGACCTGCTTCTTTCAATGCAGGTTTTACCTCGCCTCGCTATTCAATGTTCACAAGAAAAATATTGCGAAACTCGTGCAGATACTCCCTAACCGCATTACGCTTGCTCGTACGACCGAAACAAATATGAATCCATGCCGGATATGCAGATGATGTAATTTTTCAGAGTCCACGGTAACCGGATATACGTGAGCAGCATTAAGATCCACTTAAAATTATATCATATATATATATCAAAATGTTGTTTATCACAATCTTCTAGACTGTATAGACAAATCCATACAAGATGTGGCTAGCTTCGGTGAAAGGAAACCTCGTCTGAGATTTAAGACACGCAACTTCTTGAATTTATATACAAGTTTTTGCGACAATGGTCTGCCGGATTCAAAGTTTTATCGCTGGCTTGTTATTGTGCAGATATTCACAGCCGTCGAAAACAACGCACAAGTCTGCTCAATCATTTCTTTGAGAAACATAATTTTTTACCATTTAAATATTTCATGTTTCAGAACTCTGTCGACTAAGGCATTTTTAGCTCGCAAAGTTTACACATAAACAGTCGTTAAGACTTAAATTTATAGAACTATAATGTGTGAATTGCCATGTGAACTTTTTATCACTAATATAGCAGTTGTACCTACTGCCCAATTACACTAACAGGAGAATATCGATCTTTGTCATTGATTTTCATTCACGAAAGTGTAAACCACGTTTCCCGTCTCATACGCAACACCCCGGTGTTTCGCAATCTAGCTTCTAAGGATACATGTACGACAAATTGATCGTGATATTTCTAAAGGACAAATATCCTTGTGGCATTTATCTCGGTAGCATTTATGGGATCGAACGGTGGATTCATCAGGTGAAGTAAAAGCGAGCCTTTTCGAGAACATTCGGATCGGTCCGAGGCGGTCAAGCAGACGGGAAGCGTTAGCCCTTTGCACTCGGAAGTTTTTCAGTAGAAATGTTCAACCTCTTCTGATGAGATATAGCGTTATATAAAGTTACATATTTAATATTAAATTATAATATTAACATTATTATTAATAGTAACTATTAATATAATTAATATATTATATTATGATTAATATTATTAATATTAATGACAGTATTGTTAAAAATAACTATTAAAACTAAATACTATTAACAATAATATTAATAATATTACATATAAAACTTTATAATTCTATTATATCAAATGAAATGATGACCGAGAGTCACCTCTCAACTGTAAAGCGTTAAAAGTCATCACGCTGCGACCGATCCAACTGTATTACCGAAGAGGCAGGCAGCTTATGTTCATCGTCAACGCAGAAACTAGGACAGCTGATACAGATTATCCAGATAGACCTTCTAAATTGTTATCTTTCGCGCAGAATTTCACGCGCTGCGTCAGCCGGCCTCGTGACTCCTTCTCTGCTCCTCCTTCGTGATCGGATCGTAAAAAGGTGAAAGCAGATTGCTCGGTATAATCCTTGAATAGACACGACGATTTTTTTCACTCTTCCTCTCTCTCTCTCTCCTTCCTTCTCTTTCTCTCTTTCTGTCCTCCTTACAATCGTCGACAACAAAGTACTGGATGAAATGAAATCACGACCAGTTGAGTATTGCAATTGAGATGGTCATCATTAAAATAAATGCTGGTAACGAATATGTTCAATAGAAATAGTATGAGAAAGTTCATCGACATCTGTAATGATGTATGTGGTAAGTACCCGTGGTAAGGAAGGCACATGTGATGTAGAAGCTTGAGGATCTTTCACCAGTTTGACTACTAATTTAGCCTATCTTAAGACTCATCCCAATTTAGTTTATCAAATATTATATACACCTATGTGTAATTGATTGTTTGTTCCTTTACCAAATTTAATCATTTTTGTTGTAGATACATGCACTTTCGTATCTCATGCAATATTTCTGGTTAGTCATCATCACTTTTTCCATTATATTAACCAAACAAAAAATTTGCACATTACTTGCTGAGATACTCAGAATTTATCATGCAAAGTTTAATAATACTTAAGCTTGATTATGTCTGTAGAATTATGGCCGTGTATTATGAAACACCCTGTATAAGAAATCAGTACCTTTTGAGTCTTCTACTAAAATAAAAAACGACAGAGATACTTTTAGGACAATAATCTGTGTATATCTGTACACCTAGTATTTTCTGTCTCCCTTGTAAGCTAGACTAATTTTGGCGGAAAACAGTTTCATTATTTTTTTTCTCCTTAATCGTTCCTTGTACCATTAAAATTTTAATCTCACGAAAACTTAATCTTAACGTGAATATGAATGCATGTTCTTTCTATTTCTCATCTTCCACGGTGAACGATAATGTTCCAGCAACTAAATTAACATTCTTCTGTAATCTTTAACAGTGCCAAAGAATATTATAGAAAGTGTCCTTACCGACGGAGTCAAAACTCATGCCATGACCGTTAATTGATGTTTGTCTCATCACTGACAATTGAGAAAGTACGAGTTTGTACTTAATTCCACGAATCATTCAACGAGAGAAGTCAGGCAATCCAAATGGCAATTAAGTTTTTAAAATTATAATAATTTGATTTTAGAAAGCGAACAGAATCGAAGCATCACTCTCGTATTTGAAGGTATTTTTCGATTTGACAATCGCCTGTTAACAACGCTATTATTTTCCCGTATTTTTCCGCTTTATTATCTTCTCCTTTTGATGTATTTTTCCTAGATATTGGTCCTTGACAATACAATATTTATACTAAAAATATTGCTGTAATGTAAATGCATACTTCGATCATGATGAAGTATACATCATTTTAAAACGAATTCCTAATCAATGCAACATTTTTATGTTTACAATTACAAGCAAAGTAATTTGAACAAATGATTTAGGAATTATACTTCGCAGTATCTGTTCAGCATGTTTTACTTTGCTTGCAAAAAGTCAGTCAAAAGTAAAATCTACGCAAATAAAATCGAACAATTTTGTATAGAGTTATAAGAACAATGAAGAAATTTCCCCACGAGATATTTTTCTAATTCTCAACGTCAGGAACGCATAATGATCGTAAACTAAACTGTTCCATTCCACATTTTTTTCTATGACGAGGTCACATTACTATTGGCATGAATCTGTTATTTATAAGAACTCTATAAACGTTATATAATATAAATTAAAGTTTCCTGTCCATTTTTATTATTTTATTGTCTATTAATAAGAATCTATAAAAAATTTTATTATTGTTTTTGTTGGCGCATTTTTGCATATTTGTAATTCCAATTACAATTATCTTATCGATAAAACAGTATGTTATCATACAAGCCATTTAACTTTTTAAGTACTATATTCATGATGAAATAAAATATTTTACGAATAGTGTTAAAGATTCATTATTTATTTAGGTCAATAAAATGAATTTCATTATGAAAAATCCATCACCGTTATTAGAAAGAGCCATCATTCGATTTTTGCAATCGGAAGGCAATACGGTGTCGAAAAAATATTGTTCTTGAAAATGAAGCTGCAGGCGGGCAATTAAGAAGCAGAAACCGTAACTGCAAACGTTGATTTTCTAAACACCAATGAAGCACTTACAATCATGTAACTTGCCCTTGGCATAATTCGAATTGTATTATTACTTCATTGTTATGTTCTGAGAAACTTCTCAAGTTACTCATGACAAGTAAATTAATAGTCACAATGACTGTAAGCTTGGGATAATTGTTCACATATGCATATAATTAATGGTAATATATAAATATTAGCACCTTATGACTTTCTTTCATTTTATTGTCATTAAATTATTTAGAACCATGCAACATCAGACAGAAAATTATTGGCCATCTGTAACACACTCCTACAAAATGAATTGTATTCTAAGTCATTAATGATAGTGGTACTCAAATAAATTATCCAATATGTTTTATAGACAATTACAAAACAGATTAACTTGTTTATTCAATTAAATATATACATATATAGTGTATTCTCTTAAATACATAGATATTCTACTTTCCAAAATATCCCCCAATTAAATATTAAACAATTGTAATGATAAACAAGGATTGTCTACCACTTTTATACGTTGCAGATTAAAGCCAATCTATGTGTTATAAATGGAAAAATCATTGTTAAATAGTTATAAATAAAGTAAATTACAATAATTCAATTACATGATTTATAGAACAATGTTATTGTGTATATATATTATCTTTTATAATATGTACACATATTAAATGTTAACATTTTTGTTTAAATACATATAGTACATCATTAGATTATTGTATAGAATTTTTACATGCTTACGTTTTATACAAAATTAATACTAAAGGAAATGAAAATAGAATATTGCATAATTGGAAAATAAAATACATGGTATGTGTATATATTAAAACATGAATCAAGTTTTGAACTAAAAATGTTGCTGTTTTTTCTGCATTATATTTACCTTGCTACAACTAAAGAGATTAAATACAAAGTTATACATACTCGTGATAGTAAATCTTTAGTTTAGTTGCAGTTTTTATTTTATTGCCATTACATATTTTAATGTACCTTGTACATCAAATGGTCAAGTTTCTTTTCTCAGGTTTTCATTTAAAAACTTCGATATTATTGAAACAGTAGCAATTTTTAAGTCAAATTTCGTAGTAATACATTTTCGAATAATGTAAAATGATCTAATTAGTTTTATATGGCATAAACATTATGTGTGTCCTGTTAGAAACTCATTATTGCAAAGCATATTACTATTCTTACACGAAGTTTACTATGTAATTCTGGATTCCAATTCATAATGAAACATTTGCACATAGGAAATGGACATTCATTTATTACTAATACAGTTGAAATATTGAAAACGTATGATTAATTTATGGAACAACTTTAAAGTTAATTTAAAAACTTTAGTTTAAAAACATTAATAACGCAATTTCGCTTCAAATAACGAAAGATTAAAACAGTTTGGAAATTTTACAAGACATCTTTTTGTTTCGAAAAAGTAGCAATATTGTCTGCTTATTTTATTCTTAACTGTACAATCTTAATGCAAGTCTTAAGTTGTATTGTTCCATATAAAATCTAATATATGTTTTGCATTTAACGATGTAAACGTACGTGACTTAAATCACGTAATTTCAATTTACCTACTTCAAATATATTTTATTATTAAAAGTATTTGACAAAATAGTTCCAATTTTTATACAATGAAAGTTGTATGGAAGAAGAGATGATAATATATGTTCGAAAAAGGGAAGTATGGATAAATAACATCTTCCAATATGTTTTTTTTCAATATATTGAAAAAGGTTGATAATTTATACATTTTTAATGACTAGTGCATTAATCATAATATCTACTCTTGGTACCCTAACGAAGATGAGATAATTCAACTAAAAATATATATGCATGTATTATTTACATATATATGAATATTTTCTTATACTACAGGAATATTTAAACTGATTTTGAGTCCATCTCTTTCAAAGAGAAAATTTGTTAAAGATGTTTATGAACAATGTACTCCGACTTGCATAACCTACATCCTCTTTATTCTAACCTTTTCTTATGTACAATAAGATTTTATTTATGAAATTATAATAGGTGATATAATAAGATCTTTCATCAATAAAATATTATCAAATTAGTTATTGTTCAAGCAATAGTCTACTATCATTATAAAAGCGATGTCCTCGTTTAATTAAGTCTATCACCTAACATAATTTGTGCGGTACATAAAATAAGCTTCAATAGTGTCTGGTATTCCAACAAGTATTAGACTAGCCACTGGCAAAAATCTAAACTCGAAGTTTTTTTTTTACATTTATAATTCGATCAATTATTTAATGTGCAGTAAACAGTAACGTATTATAAACAGTGAACAGACTACCCATATTATTGTAATTTAAGAAAGAAAAAGAAAAAGAAAACAATATCTTTTAAAACAAATGTTCTACACTATTTATTCACAGCCTATTTTGTTATTTTGGAAGACATATTATACATACTCCCTCTTGTTTCAATATATCATCTCTTCTATATTATGTTATGCAACATTTGGAGCTCTTACAGAGGATTACCTTAGGCGGACGGTGAATATAAACTTTTATCAATACGTGCAAATCTTTCCTGCCAAATGTGAGTTCGGTGTTGAGTAGTTAATATCGGGTTAAGAATGCGCCCTATACAATTAATACGACCTTTAAATCGTTCTCTGTCTCTAGCCATTTGTTCCCACGGGCCTTTACGAGCAGCACGGTACGCAAAATCCCATTGTACCATTACATGAACTCTCGGATTCAAATTAAATTTTACCTAGAATAAAGATTCTGTTGTTTAATACATAGAATTTCAAACAGACAACTCGAATTTGTGAACGATTCTTTACTTTCTGAACTGGAGAAATTAGTTCTCTGAGATTGCATGTGTGATCATCATCATCGTTGTCGTCGTCGTCGTCATCCTCGTCATCGTAACTACTTTGGTCTGCGTCGCTCTCATCCGTGTCTTCAAGATCATTTCTATAAGTTACTTCAGATTCCGCTTCAAAAACTATACAGGAACTGTCTTCCGAATCGATAGAACTTTCTGACATTAAACGTGGTCGAAAGCGCGCTCTCTGCGCATTGTATCTGTTTTCTGTGAAGTCTTCATTGAAAATACTCATGGCTTTTATGCACTCGGGTATATATCTCATTCTTGTAGGTAACTCTAACATTCCTTGACCGCAGGTTTTATGTGTTTTTGGTTTCTGAATTTTTGGTTCTACATCAGCAAATGTAAATGTCGCATGGTTAACTGTCTCTGTAGTACCTAATCCATCTACCATGTCTTCATCTAAGCTAAAACAGTCTTCTGATTCTTTATTCTCTACTTCATGGTATGCTTCGTAGTCTTGCCAGTTTTTCAAATCGTTTTGTATGTCTGCAGTAAGGTCGTGCTTAGTGCGTTCCTTCCTGTGTCTGGTTTGACTTACTCCGGAACGCCTAAGTTGTGATCTTGCACGACCTCGACCTCTGCCCTTTGCTATAGTGTTATGTTTTCTTCGTTGTTTCGGCGAGAGTGATCGTTTCATTGTTGTATCCGATTCAATTGAGTCTGTTCTACAGAATCGATCTGTTACGTTATCACAAACCTTTTGCCACATACTCGTCAACATATTGGACACTGAAACCTGTTTAATTAGTTGTATGCTTTCTAGTTTTGTATCGATCGTGGACAAAAATGGTTCTGTGTTTACATTTACTTTATCATTTACACTACTCTCGATGCAATCAGAAAACTGTTCCTTGTTAGAAAGACTATCATTGATATATTTACAGTTGTGGATATTTTTCATGTTCTTTGTACTATCTAAATAAACGTGTTCAAACGGGTCTTCTATATTTCCTTCGTATGATTTTTTAGTTGGTAGTAAGTGATTACAATGTTCTGTAATAACTGACTTTTCTTCACCAGATTTGTCTATAGCCTTGTTTTTCGTACTAATATAATCGTAGCTAAGTTTTAAATTTTTCATTGTGTTTTCATTAAATATTCTACTTAGGTACAATTTCTGTTCATCAAACATACTATGATGAATATTTTCAATAATATTTAAAGATTCTTTTATCGGAGAACTCTGAATATATACATTATCAGTGTTCAACGTATCCTTTTTAGTTGCCAAGTCTTTAAAAAATTCATGAGAAATTATTCCTTCGTTATTTACTACTGTCACTGATAACGGATAATTAAATCCTGCCATAACCGATGCAGGAACTTTGGCAAATCGTTCCCAGATCATATTAATAGCATTGAACACACTGTAAAGCATGTTTTCTTGCTTCGGATTTGACATTCTCCTTCCCGTGTTCAACGTATCGTTCATCGAATACATGTTTTCCATTCTCAGTTTACTGCACAAAATACATTATTGAATGTAAATATAAAAAGTATTATTAAATAAAAAATATTAAATTTATATAAAAGATTCAAATGTTTATAAATTTTTCATATTGAATTTACTTACATTATTCAACACGCTGGTACTCCTTTACCACCTCTCTTAGTTCTCATAAATCTTCTTTGCTGTACTGCAAACAAAACATTAAAGATTAGAAACACCTCATAATTATTTATTTTTAACAGTCACAAAAATTAATTTATAGGGCTTATTACATTACAAATTATTATTCTGATTATTACATTAGAAAGATCATCTAAGAATTTTTCCTGAAGCTATGAAAAATTTTAAGATGAAGTATATTGATAATATTGATAATATCTATATCCAAATTAATGATACTGTATATTTCGTTCGTAAATTGTTTTTTAACATAATAAATAAATATCCTTGTTTTTTTCATAATTTAATGCCAACCTCGTTATAAAAATAATTAAATTTACTTTGAGAATATAAATTCACAAATTGCGAATAAACTTTTGTGGCTGACTGTACCATCTATCAAATAGCAGTTTTTGAAATATTAAGAATTTATATTCTGGCATTGAAAATATAAAATTTCATCATTTTAAAACTGTTTACGTTAAATTTGACAGCATTTTTATATCCACGAAAACATTCGTGAATCAACATACAATTTGCAATTGCAACGCCGTCCCGCCACGGACTTATCGTGCACATTCCAGATAAAGGCATTGACTGATACGCATTGATCACAAAGTAACAGGATAACTAAAAGTTCGCTGTTACTTTCATTTTTGCATATGATTAGACTACAATTATGACCTTCTGCTGTACAGTATAACACAACGATTTTACATGGCAATAGTTTTTCTTACGCATACATACAACAAAGATAGCTCCCACAGCCGCAACAACCACAATCACGTAGGCAATCTTGCTCGCAGTGCAACTGATTTTTTGATGTGGCACACTTGTTGACTTCGAACAAAGAATTTTCAGTGAATCTCGTTACGTCGGGCACAATGCTTCGCTTAGATTTTTCATTAAATCCGAAGGATTCCATTGTAATATGACAGATTATCGCAGCACACATTTTAAGAACAACTTTCAAGCGGCCATTTTCAACTGGTTGATGTACAGAGTGTACTCGTGATTCACGCGGTTAGTGGCGCTACTGTTACTAATGTTTTGCATATGCATTATTGCGGAATTCTCGATAAGATCCAAAACCATGTTGAAAAATTCACAATTATATTTTGCAATGACAATAATAATTATTTTTTGGTCTCATTTCCCTGTAATATATGAAAGTCGAATGAACAAATTTAATTAACAAAAGTAGTTAAAAATGTGTATTACTTAATTTTGAACAATGTGACTACTGATTCATCACTGATGAAATCTTTTATTTCTTCTTAGAAATTGTATACGCTGATGTAAGCGTAGGAGTAAAATAATAATAGTCTTAAAATACAATGAAAGGTGTAGGAGATAATTATTAAATACTCGTGTAATTTATATTAGCTTTTATTGGACATGTTTTTTTTTCAAACATTTAATTCTAATAACATTAGAACGAATCTTTGTAACAATAATAATGTATAGCCGAACTGTAAAAAATAATACAAGATATACAATTTACTACTCCCAAATAAATGCTTACAGGTACTGTAACCCAATACCGAACTGAACCGGTCGCAATACGTCGTTCTTCATAAACCTCAGGGGCATAACTAAATTCAATTCGACTCTTGCGACATTTCCGAGTTTCATTACGATGCCACCGCCAACTGAAGAACGTATATTTTCCGTAAAGATTTCCATATTCTTTTTCAAATCATTAGCTGAAAATAAAATTTTAATTATCTTCATGTAGTCAAAACAATTTGTTTTCAATGATTTACGATCCATTTCATGAGATCAAAATTTTATTCTTGCAAAATTTCATACCAAAATTGAATGAAAATTCTGCTACATTTCCACCGTTGATAAAACCATGTAACCTGAACAAATCGCCGATGCCGTTACGACCAGGTCTAAATGGCAGTGGCGTATATAAATGGAGCGCGGCTGCCCAATATGCATCTCCACCTAATGAATTGTTATCATCACGAGGTCCACATCCTCTCATATCGAATCCTCTAAGATTCAACGGTCCACCCAGAAAGAATCGATCGGCTATATTTATCTTTTTATCGTTATTAATTCCTCGGAGCAGTCCAGATTGAAGGCCCAACTGGAAAGTCTATAAATTTTTAAATAAACATTGGTTATACAAAAGACAAATAATCAATAGATAGATGAGTATTATATAACAATTAAGTTAAAAGATACTTGCAAAATATTCGTGTGGCGACCAATTAGCTTGCATAATAAGTTCATTTTTAATGAAACCAATGTCTCCACCAAGTCCAGCTACTTCTGATGAAAATTGTACAAGGCTTCCTATAGTAGGAAATATTGAAGAATCTCGTTTGTCGATAGAACAAATGTGTCGAAACGCAGATTTCAAATTAGGACCACATTGTTCACGGACGCGAAACGACGCTTGCTTAGAACAAACAATTTTCCTGTATGTAGCTTCATACTGTAGGTTGTGCTTTAGTATACCTGCACCATCTGGATTAAAACCAATATCTAATAGAAGGCCTTTGTCGCATTGATTAAAACCAGACCAGGGGAAATCACTAGTCGTGTTGTACACACTAGCAGTTAGCCTGTAAGAAAATTATATTATAATAATAAGAATATGAATGATCATGAAAGAAGTATTCTTACATACACTGTATGAAGCCAACTATCCACAAGTGGTTTAACAGCTGACACATTTATATTTGTGGAACTTTTTGTACCATGAGAATATTCCATTTGAAGACGTTCACCTCTGCCAAATAAATTCGGAGCTTTCGCTCCAATGATTACAGAGCCTTCGTTGTTTCCAACCATAGTATTAATTCCACCAACTAATCGTCTCATTTCATGTACTGTAAAAGTTACCTGAAAAGGAATGTAACTTGAAATTTCTCATAACAAAATCTGAATTCTAAGCAAACAATTTGTCAATGAACTGAAAAGAATTAAATCTGAGAAATTACTTATTTGTTGTTGAATTAGTGTGTAATTATATAGACCCACTTCAACACCATCTGGGGTGGCATGAGGCCCTTCACTCGTATCAATGTAAACTCCAACACTCCTGAAACATCCTAATGACTCTAGCTTTCCCTTGACTCTATGGGCATGTATAATAACATCTTGAAAATCTTTAGCTTTAAAGAGGTCTGTTACTTGGGCTTTTATTATATCATCTTTCGTTCGCTTAAGTCCATCTATATGAATCGTATCAACCCTTGTCTATTTCAAAAAGAAAATTTAGAAGTTAATGCACTCAAAACAATTGTAAAAGAACAAGATTTTAAGAATGAATTATACCTTTATAGATTGTAAATCTAAATTTTTTTCTTTTACTTCTTCCTTTTCTAACAAGTTTTTCCTCTTGTTAATATATGCAGACTAAAAATAAACATTGTTTAAATATACAAAAGAAAAACTATTTTAATTAAAAATACAAATTATCACTTACAGAATCTTCTTTTGTTTTAGGATTACGTTTTTCTTTGGGAATAGCCTGATTCGAATTCTCGTTTAGTTTTCTCTGCATATTTGTTTCCTAAAAGCAATACAGCACGTTAAAAGTTGTATAAAAATATTCATATGATAAAAAAATGCAAAGCATGAATGAGAAATATAATGAACATAAAAGAAACATACTACGAAATAAATTAAAATACAGGAACCTAATGTAAGAAGATAATAAAAGATTACAGAGAAACGAATTATTATTAGAAATTACTCATGCTGTAAACTAATGATCACAATTTTAGGTTATAGCGTGCTTTTCTAATAATATGCACTTACCTTCGCGTGGACAGTTCCCATTTTTATTAAAATTAATCGTATTTGTTTTGATAAGAACTCACATTAAAATATTATGATAAATTTTGTCAAATTCTCTTTAATATTTGACAATAAAAAAAAAGAGGTAAATTTTTCAAATTAAATATTCAGAATGAGGACTTGCGGTGTGGCATTGCTATCACCGATAGTAAAATATCGCCCTCTGCAATGCTGCATTACCACTAACAGTTCATATTATGTACTAACACTAATAAACTAATTTTAAACAGTTTAAACAATTGTTTATAATAGTTTCAAATATATTTAAAATATTGTTGGTAAAAAGAATACTTATAAATTAAAAA